TTTGCACTGACGGGACGCGCCCGGACGGAAGAAAAATTTGAGGCGGCGGTAGCGGAGAGACTGAAAGAAGAGCCGATTTAGCTGGAGAGCACTCCAGGCCGCATGAACCTGCGTAGGTGTCCACCAAAAGGCCAGCCTTTTGCAGGCATTCTTCGATTTGCGCTAAGGAGCCGGTGCTGATCCAGATTGTAATATCGTCCGCATATAGTGCGTGTTGTATTTCCTCAACCTCGCTTAGAAGAGAGGGGAGGTTCATCATCGCCAGGTTAAAAAGCAGAGGAGACAGGACTGCCCCTTGAGGTGTACCCCGCGTGCCTAATAAGTACGGGCCATGTTCGGTAGAATTAAGGCGAATGAAGGCGGTGCGATGTGATAGAAAGGCGCGATTGTAGTTGAAAGTTTTCTGCCCGCAGTTTGTGGTAGACAGGTTAGGGAGTATAGTGCTGTGTTTGACGTTGTCGAACGCCCCGCGGAGATCGAGAGCGAGCACGGCTTTATCGTTATGGCGCATAGTAGTCGGCTCTATAATATCGTGTTGAAGCTGGAGCAGGACGTCCTGCGCTGACAGATGCGGGCGAAAGCCAAACATCGTGTCGGCAAAGATCCTCCTGGCCTCCAAGTAGGCGGAAAGGCGTTCGCGAACCATGGTTTCTATGAGTTTGCCTGCGCAAGACGTAAGTTAGATGGGTCTCAGTGCCTCAATACTAACGAGCTTTGCCGATTTGGATATGAATGTCACGACCGATGTGGTCCATTCCGTTGGAAGCGGAGAGCCGTCCCATATCGAATTTATAAGGTGGAGTAGCGAGAGGTGTGCTTGGTCGGGAAGATTTGCCAGGAGCGATACTGTGATTCCGTCGCGTCCAGGGGCCGTGCCCCGTCGCATTTTCGTGAGTGCAAATCGTAAATCAGAAAGCGTGTATGGGGCCTCGAGGTCGGTGTTAGGGGCGCCGGAATACGTATATGCTGGGCCTGCGGGATCAATTGTGCGGCAGATGTAGCGGTCACAAAGTTCTCGCGCGAGTTCATCCGTAGTGCCCTGAAAGGCATGCAGAACACGGTGGAGCTGGCGTTGCGTTTCTCCCCTGGTGGTGGAGGGATCGAGAAGGCTTCTAAAGAGTCGCCACGCACTCTTAGAGCTCATCTGGTTTGCAGCCTTCGAACAGGTGTCTGCCCAGTTAGCATCGGAAAGTTGTGCGGAGTATGCGACCGCCTCTGCAGTGAGCGCCTCAATGCGAGCGCGAAGTTTCCGATTAAGTTTGTAGCGTTTCCAGCGCCTTATGAGCCCGCGGCGAGCGTGCCAAAGATGTAGGAGGTGTGGATCGATTGCAGGAGTCAAATTAAAGGTTGCAAGGGTGCGAGTGTTTGCTTGTTCTGTATGGAAAGCGTATGATGCCCACGCTGCATATTCGGTCGAGAAGAGGCCGGCGGGGAATGGTTGCATTCTGAACTGAGTCCAATCGGTGAGACAGGCTTGGCCCCAGTGTTGGCGCATTTTCTGCCACGGTGTGAACGAAATGCGGAGTAAAAAGTTATCGCTGCCTAGAGTTTCGCCTAAATTTTCCCATGTAGCATCGCGGATGTGACGGGTGAGGGAGAGGTCGGGGCATGTGTCTCGCGTGACCGCGTTACCGGAACGCGTGGGTTGTGCCGGATCGGTAGGAAGCGTCAGGCTCAGCGATGAAATGAGCTCCTTGAGCTCTCTGCCCCGGGCCTTCTCGTGGTGGTAACCCCAGTGAGGGCTGGGGGCATTAAAAAAGTCCCCGACAATCACCAGTGGTTGTCGGGCCGCTATACTCAGCGCCCGATGGAAGAGATGCGCAAACGAAGCCCTCGCAAGGCGAGGGGGACAGTACACGTTTAAGATATGTATTGATGGTTGGCCCCTCCGCTGAGACAGCACTGATATCATGCAGTAGTCGTAAGGAAGATCCAGATCGAGATCAACCTGTATCGCCATTTAAGCTTTGTGCACGAGGAGGCATGTGGTGGTGCCGCCTACATAAGAGCAGTATCCAGAAAGGGATGGAGCAGGGCCAGATTCTTGGAGCGCCAAGACGGCTGGCTGAGAGTCAAGTGAGCTGAGGAAAAGAGAAAGATGTGAACGCTTAAGCCTGTTCCTGAAGCCTCCAGGGTTCCACTGTATGATCTCGAATTTAGACGCAATGTTTGAACGGGACGTATGATTGGTAGCCATCGTGACTGTCTTAGGTTTTATATTTGGTCCTCCATATCCCGCTCGGAATCCTCAGATGCAGGGAGGGGCACGGAGGCCGGATTGTCCGACGGCGGGGTGGTGCTAGCCACCTTACGACGACGCCGTGGAGCTGTACCCTCACTGCTCACCGAGCAGGAGCGGGAACGTGATGCCTTGGGTTGAAACTGGGTGATTGCCCAGGCTTGAATAGCCTGGGTAACTTCTACTACTATGCGTTGGACCGAGAAGCTGGTGAGGAGGTGAATAATCGAAGCTTCGACGCGCGTGAGGCGTTCCTCTACGCGCGGGGTGCGCTCTTCGCTAGGGAGAGTTTGGTTAGCGGGCAAGAGAACCTGGGGTGCCCCAGGAGCCTCAAGAGCTTCTGGAGTAGATGTGGCACCGGTTCCGAGTGCTGGAGTACACATGGCTGCTTGAACCGGCGGTTTAATGGGAGTGGACTTAGCGCGAGGACTAAGCTTGGACGTAGCTGGCGTAGCCACCTGGACAGAGGAGGCAATACTGGATGGCCTTGCAGTACACTGTTGTTGGGGTCGAAGTCGCTAATTTAGGAGTTCGAGTTGTTTAGTTAAAAGAGAATTTTGCTTTTGAAGTGCCGCAACTTGCTGGCGAAGGGCCGCAAGTTCGGGAGAAGGAGGATCGACAGAAGGGGGTGAGAGAGGCTTAGAAGCAGCTTTCCCTGCCCAACTGTTTACCTGAGGTACCGCCGCTGGTGCTTCGAGGGAATGCTTGAGTGTCGGCGTGGAGTGGTGGAGACAAATGATGCAGGTTGGTGCTGCTGTCTGGCTGTGACGAACATGAGGTGGTCCCTCGAGGAGATGTTGAGGGCTGCTTGCGTTTCCGATATTTTCGATATTTTGCCGTGCAGCCACTGGTCCCAGTCTCATGGGCGCCGTGGCAGAGGAGGCACTTGGGTTAGCAGTCATGGGAATCGAGACCTGCAGGTGCGGGGGTTCCACATTTGCCACACTGCGTTGGAGCGGGGTAAGGACACTGAGGTGGTCGATGGCCGATGGTACCGCACTTGGTGCAAACAGGAACCATTTTCTTGTAGGCGCGGATATACGTCACCACGCAGTGGTAGAAGAGGAAGCGGGGTAACTTCGTGCCCTCGAAAGTCACCACCGCCACCGCGGAATCTCCGAGTTTGCGGACCGCAAGGATAGTACCTCGAGGCCAATACAGTTCAGACTTTATCTTCTCCGGGCTTTCAGCAGGGTTTACGTTGATGACGCCCTTGCATGTATCCCCTGGTGCCTTGGCGTGGCCTCGAACGGGCAGCTGCTGATCCCCTACTTTCCACTGGAAGTCCCCGAGGAGCCGCTGTGCCATAGGCAAAATGGTGGTGCTACAGACCAAGATGTTCTGTTCCCAGATTGGCCACACTTGAATTTGCGTGGTAGTACGGTCGCCGAGGTAGCTGCGGATGGCGTCTCCCGCGCGATCGGCCGAGACAAATGTGCGTAGCTCGCAGGGAACGCGAGGTTTAACTACTACGATGTAGTCGTCGCGAGAGAGGCGAGGAGTCTGACGCGGACGCCACTTGCGTTGCTTCGCTGGCTGCTAGGACGGAGCAGAGGTAGGCACACCACCGGAGGGATGGAGCGCTGACGTTCCTTGCAAGGCTGGGGAATGGTGGCCAGCTGTGGCGTCTCGTTGTTGAGACGCAGACTTTGATTTGGCTTGCTTGCGTTGCCACAGTCTCACCATGTCTTCGAGGTATTCATCTTCTGTTGGCAAAGTGTTTACGGAGGATGAAATCTCCATGGACAGCACTTGGCTTGAGGTAGGATCATAGCCCGTAACCACGTTGGCGGCTGCCATCGCCGGGCTGAGAGCCCTTAGCGAGGCGGCGTTGTAGCCGGGAGTGAAGGATGTCCCTCAAGTTGCCAAAACTGGACCCACCTGGACGAAGGTGTTGTCTAGGCGAAGCGGAGAACTTGGCGGTGACGATAAATCCAAGTTTCAGGGGTACCAAGGTGGATGTCCGCAGAAATAGCAGAAAATCTACGGAGGCGATGTGGAGTGCGTCCGTCACCATCGAGCGCTCGCAGCGCCCCCCCCCCCTGCACGTGGGATATAGCAATTTCTTTCAGCTCGTAATGAACTGATTGAAAAAAATTCTTGTGGCAAAATGTTCCTCATCATGCTCCCAACAACATCCACGGTCAAAAAAAAATTTGGTATGGGGCCTTGTGAGTGGTCCTTTTAATTTCTTCACTATTTTTGTGCAAATGTACTATACACTCTTGAATATCGTAAATAGCATTAGAGTCTCTTCTATAACAAGGATGCGTGTCATCCGTCTTCTATTCATTATGCTTCGCGTGTTTTTCAACACTGTGTCTTGGGGTATATATGAATGTAATATAACTTACAGGGGTGATACTGTATGCGTTACTTTTGCAAACATCCTTCGTTTATTATCAACAAAAGTCTGAAGGTATAACAAAATTACTCAAATAAACGAGGTCAGTGTAATCCGATTCCGTGAAGTTGCACAACCTGTTCTTGAATTGGTTGTTTTGTGCTATTTAATCACAGTGCACTTTCTATTGTATTTATCATGTAGTTTTTATGTACCTGAGATGTTTTATAACGCAAAGTTCAATACATTTTACGCAGAAAATCGCAAATACTCACTATCTTATGAACTATTTTGCAGCAAGTTCAAATTGTAAATATATTGTTCGCCTGGATGGTGCATAATGACAGAACTTTGATAAAAAGCATTGAGTTCTCAATAATATAGTTTGTTTTTCTAACACGCGGCGATAATACTGACCAGCGGTAGTCCTGAAGTACTGGATATTGAGAACAGTAGGGAAGATTTGCAGCCATGCCTGCTTCATAGTCAAGCCTTTCCTTGCAAAGGATTTGACGAGTTCCGCCGATTGCTGTGAGTCAGAAGTGAGCACTTTAGAATGTTGTTCTTTGAACAGCCATAGTGCCGTGCTTGATCGTCAAAAGTAGTAGACCACCTGCAAGAGACGATCCAGTCCTTTAAAAATAACGGAATCTGTAACTACCTTTTTTATTTACCAATAATTGTAGGGGGCTTAACATCCAAAAACCACAATAAGATCACGAGGTACCGTAATAGTGGGCTATGAAATTGATGACCAACTTGGCTTATTTAACAGGCACCTAAATCCAAGCATACGGACCTCAAGCTTTTCAGCATTTATCGAAAGTGCGGTCGCCATGACCGAGCTTCTATACCACAACGAGCAGGTCGGAATTTGGTCACCATAACCACCAGACCACCGAGGCGGGTAACTACACTATTTCTGTGAATTCTTAAAAATAACTTCCTAATGCGAAATATGACATAAGCGGGGTAACTTTTGGATGCCATTGCTTAGGTATTTATTTAGCGACGAGACAATGCTGCTTACCTACGATACCGGAAGCCCGACTAAGCTATGTCGCTAACTTAGGTCCATTGATGTGGCGCGTTGCTCTAAATAACGATTACCAACTTTTTTGCCCTAGCCTAAAATAAGCAATAGAAGCTAGAAGACACTGAAGGGAGTTCAACTTTATGTGCTTACTGTATCGATTTGAAATGAAAAAAAAACAACAAAAAATTGTATTCGTCGTCTCAAATTCCACGATCATTTCTGCCACTTCTGAAGCCAGTATGTCACAAGTAGGTCATGTCATATAACCACTATTTAGCAAAGTTAAGCACAGACCATGAATTGTTATCTAGTCACGGTGCTGTAACGGATGGTCTGGTCGAAAAGCATTGTTAAGATACCATAACTCGTAATATGCTGTAACTTGCGTTGGCATCCTGATGAATCATTTCTACGAAGTTAATAGACAATCATGCTAATGGTTGCCAGGCAACGGTTCAGATTTTTACCACTTACAATTAGACAAAAAGGAACAACACTGGGTTAGATCAGTTTTTATCCTTTTATCTTTACGTGAAGTACCACCTACCGTGTCTTGAACCCTGTGAGCGTATACGATCAGCATGAAACAATAGCTACTCAAGGCTACATTGAGTGTCCAGGGCACACATGAAGCCATCGTACATATTATTATAATGAAGATATGTAGAATATTGGGTGCTCGCAGCTGATTTAAAAAAATAAGGATGCCAAAATACTTGTGCCTATCTTGATACACAATGATCATGAAAAAGTCTCAACTTTTTATGCAAAAAACACCAATAAAGAAGCAACTTGAAAGCTCCACAACGAGCGTACGTACAGTGCCATCCGCGTTGTGTATAGCGCGCGAGCAGCCGGCTTTGTTCTGTGGGGCAATAGCGTGCGGCTCCTGCTAGATGTGACGTTTTGTGCTCAGAACAAGATGCAATAGCGTTTTTAAGTTTGAAATAGTTTGAAGCCTTGTATACCAAGAAGCTTTTGATCACTTTGTTTACACTTCCTAAACAAATATAGGTAAATCCTGATTTTAAGCTGTCTGAGAGTACAGGAAACACCATTTTAACGTTTTAGAGCAAAAGTGCGGAACGTGGCCTTAAAAAAAACCTCTAAATTTGTGTACAACGAACAGTAATCAATGAAAGTGCAAATTCAAGCGCTCCTTTTTTGTTATACACTATAATAATGAGAACTCAAACACTATGACGTGAGTAATGTAACGGGGAGGTTAGTAGTTGCAGTAGCTGTAATAGTAGTAGTAGTAATACTGGTAGTTGAAGTAATAGTAGTTGTCTCAGGAGGAGGAAGAGAAAGAGGAGGGGTTGAAAAGTGCAGAGTCAGGTAATTTGGTAATGGCAGCTAGTATTGATAGGTGGTCATTGGTCAGCGGCCACCTCATAGTTAGATCACGTAATATGCGAGGCCAACACGCAGTGAAAGTGTCTGGATCAATAACTGATGAAGTAGTGTTAGGTCTTTGGTCGGAGCCAGCACGACTATTTGGTTGTCAGAGCCATCGTAGCATTTTCAGAAGCCCATGGACTGGATTCCTGTCTTTAATGTTACCCAACGTACCAAGACCTCATTTTCATATCCCTACCTCACCGTCGTTATTCAATATTAATTCGCTCCTTCTTCAACATTCCCCACTGCGGAGTAGCAGGTCAGAGCAAACTGTAGCTTTAGCCGACCTCCACACCGATTATTATTACACATTTCTCCTCTCTTTCTTGTGTCCAAAATTCACCGTCATGGCTACAAATAGCACTGACTGACACTCAAACGTTTCTGTGCAATTCTACACCCCATAAAAAGGACAAGGGGGATTACTGCCACTGTAGCTAAATTGGCAAAGCATCCAACGTTTTTTTTTGAAAGTCGCAGGCTTGCTCACTGCCAGCCATGAGATTTAATTTTTTCCTGTTTCATTTCTTCAGATTTAGGTTACATTTACTATATTCAAAACATCCCCTTTACTTGTCCAGGCTTTTTTGTCTGTTGGCTCTGAATGATGTTGTGTCTATTGTAGAAGAATCGCTTTTTTTGGGAGGCGGAGGACGGTATTCGACTAAACATTCAGAGTAAAGTATTTATTGTATAGTGATATATCTTGATATATTGATATATCTATATTTATTATTGATATAATAATTTATCTATAGTTCTGTATCGGGTGTCCAAGTGCTCGGCAATTGCAAGGAGTCATGGCTAATGCCTTATGTGCCTACCTTATTAAACAAGAACTCTTTAATGCGCAAACACCTTCAACATTCAGGTATATGTTTGTGGAGATTGTGTAGATGTACATTGACTGGATTTAGGCTCTGTGACGTCTCCTTCACTTTGAATTTGCATCGTGGGTATCGCGACTTGGTTGTAGAATTTGGTGCGTTGTTCATTCAGGTATTGAGGGTTATGTTCTTAACATCAATTTCTTCGCTCTCATTATTCATCACCAATTCTTTTTCTTTACTTTATATATTTGGGGCTAGTTCTTCAATCTCCTCTTCTGGTAGCTTCATGCTCGTAAGTTGATTGTTCTGTTCTGTTCTGTTTTAACTGTTTTGCTGTGGAGAGGTTGAGGTGCCTATTGCCTCGGCTACTCCATATCACAAAGTTCTGCAGCGAAAAATAAAATAATAGTACAGAACGGTCCCAAAAAATTAACAATACGGAAAAGAAAAAAAAAACAAAAAACCCATAATAGCACACTGAAACCAGTTCAAATAACATGCCAATACACAGTTTTCTTCACGCAGTTCACACAGTCGTAAACTACTTACACGCACACCTTACTACTCTAGTGTCAGTATATACATGACCACATTTTACATAATACCCATCTCTGGCTGTCAGTCATAGGCGCTTGTCTAGTCCGGTCTCCACTAAAAAATCTGTCAGGAAGATTATTGCCTTTTTCTGGAGATGCATCTCAGGCCATGGTCCAAGTAGTTTCTTTATTGTGAGGGGCCGTCTGTCCAAACTTGCTAATTTGTTCTTTAATTTTTCTCTTTCATTCGCGTATTTAACGCACTCCAAAAGAATATGGCGAACATTTTCTTCTGCATAACCACAATAGCATTCCGGTGAGTTGGATCGATGTATCTTGTGCAGGAAGCTGTTTGTGTATGCTACTTCCTATCTAAGTCGGTGGATCAATGTTCTAGGTGTCTTGGGAGGTCTGTCGCTATGGAAAATTTTCTCTGTGGATCGACTTCATAAAGTATCGTTTCCTTTGATTTAGGGCTCTCAAACCACTTCTCCATCGAACAATGGTTAGCTCCTTGCGATATAAAATGTCAAATATCCGCCCCAGACATAGGGATTGTGCAATCCCGTTCTTCCTTCAATGCTTTCTTCGCGTGACTATCAGCATCTTCATTTCCATTTATTCCAATGTGGCTGGGTATCCATTGGAATACGATGTTGTGACCCTGCGATGAGGCATATTCCACAGTTTCTGCGATACATTGTGCTATTTCACCATTTTTGTAAGGTGATCTCACATTTCTGATTAGCTGAAGAGCAGGTTCGCTATCAGTGCATATCACCCATTTTCGTGGCTCGAGATTCTCGCAGATAAGCTTAACTGCTTCAAAGATAGCCACCAATTCTGCTGTCGTCGATGAAGATTTGTGCGATATTTTGCACATCTTCTTTTTCTGAATTTCGGGTATAAAGACTGCACAGGCTGACGCTTCTTCTGTGCATGATCCGTCTGTATATATCTTCGTTTTTTCATTATGCCTTAAATGAAGCTGATGAAGTACCAACTGTGCCGCTACTAGAGGTGCCATGTCTGCTTTCTTCTCTATGCCGTCTATTTCATGGATAACGTTGAGAAGTGGCAACGTTCAAGGTGGTTTTGAAGGTTTCCATTGTTTAAATTCTGGTACTACTGCCTGAAATGATGATATAGTATCTTGTAGTCTCGTTGCCGTTCTTTGCGTTAGTGCGCCAGTTAAAAATGACTTTCATGTTGTGTGAAAATTCTACATAAATTTCGAGATGTTTCTTTAGTTCGGAGTACTGCCAAAGGTAGCTCTCGAGCCTCCATATACACTAAAGCACTGGACGTTGACCGTGGTAAACCCAGACATACCCTCAAGCTCCTTGCCAATAACAAGTGAAGTTTCCTTTCGGTGGAGGCTGGGAGTCCGTGCAGCAGAGGCAGTGAGTAAGTTACGATGGGGCGTATCCAGGCAACATGTAGGGCTAATAACGACTCTGCAGTACCACCCCATTTGGCCCCGCAGAGATGCCGGAGGATTTCAATGGCCTGACTCACTTTTTATTCCAGGGACTGTACATGAGGCGACCATGTTAGTCTCCGGTCTAAAATTACTCCGAAGAATTTATGAGTTTTAACCATTTGAATAGGCTGATTTTGCAGAATAATCTGGAAATTTCCAGGTCTTTTTAATGTAAACGGAAGTATGGCTGTTTTAGCCAGACTCAGTGTCATGCCTCTTTTTTTTAGAAAATGGTAAGTTGGTTGGCTACATCAGAAACCCGATTTCCACATGGTTATTTTAAAATATCTAATGTTGCAAAAGACGCACATTCTAAAACG